GCATACAGAGACTGCATACATAGACTGCATACAGAGACCGCTTACAGAGACTGCATACAGAGACTGCATACAGAGACCGCATACAGAGACCGCATACAGAGACTGCATACAGAGACTGCATACAGAGACCGCATACAGAGACTGCATACAGAGACTGTTCTACTACTAAGACTACAGATCTGTAGCCAAGCCTGGAGCTCTGTCTGTTGTTTAGACAGACAGAGCTCTTGGGTTTGGGTTATTTGTATGGTTTTCTACATATCAGTATCGTCTCCATCCAGGCTACCTGCAGCATGGTCCAACCACGGCTGGTACCACAGCTTCTTCCTGGACCTCTTTTTTCCTGTCTGCATCTCTGGATCATCTGGAATGAAAACAGAAGTTCAAAGAGCTTTTAGGACAGACTCACTGCGGGGATGCGAAGCTTAGAGTTGCACTAGCAGTTCTACTAGGAGAAGTCTGGCAAGTGTTTTCATCTTTTTTGGGGGAAACAATCTTCCTAATACAAGTGGTCCTAAAACGACACAGAAGGAAGAACAGAAATACAAAAGAAGAGTAAACGTTAAGGGTGTAATGTGAAGCTAACTCACGTGCAGCACAGAGAAGTTTTATTGACTAACAGAAGTGAAGAAAAAATGTACAGAACAGGAAGGAATACAATGAAGGGAAATCAGGACACCGAGGCAGGAAAGAGGATGAGGAGACAGCAAATATGCTTCTGCAAATAAACATTTTTACAAAGCACAAATAACAGAAAGTGTTGTAGAAAGAAAAGAAGCCGTATCTAACGTATGTAATTGATTTCAGATGACACTGATTAAACTTCTGGCAGTGACAGGAAACACACGGCAGTAAAAAGAGCCGCACCGACAGCCGGGCTTTCTTTGGAGCTTTCACTTATTTTGTGTCCATATTTGTACTTCTGCTGCTTGGATCGAATTCTCTGCATCCTGAGGACAAAAGAAGAGAAGGACACGGACTTCATTTCTGTGATGCTTTGTTTCTGAACACTCTCATTTTCAGGGTTTCTTAGAATTTGCGATATATTTTCCATTGCTGTGAGCACTTACGATCTCTTGAGTTGCGACAGCGATTTCTTCTCAGCTTGTTGGTGGAACTTGATGTTCTTCACAATACTGGCTCTAAAGAGCTCGAAACCCCTGAGAGGAAAAGGTCAGTTAGTGCCATCAGCAGTTTACAGCCAGGAACCAGGTCGTTTCATGTTTGTGAACAAAAGTGTGTGCGTGTAAATACAGGTGTCAGTATAGCTGCCACCTGCTGTCCCAGCTGGTTATGGCCACAGCCTTTTTTCAAAATGTTAAATATGAAATGAGTATTACTGAGCAGCGGACAGGGTGATTGTCACGGTGACAGCACATTAACAGTGCACTATGACAGTGAGGTGAGCAGACTTTGAAGTGATGAAACATGTTTTTGGCAGACGCTGTGTCACTGATACCCGTGCACATTGCTTCAGGCCAGGTCACGCACACACTTTGTGCCAAATATTTCGGTCAGCACGTGCAACATTTTAGATTTCAAATATTGCCGGTGAATGCACCAAATAACCACAATGGTAATATCTGCAGCGCTTCTGTGGTCAGGTGAAATATGAATCGTCTAGATTTGTTGTGTCTTTGGCATCGCGATAAATATAACTTGTGAGTAATTAAAGCATTTTCAAAACTTCTTTTGGGTAAATTCAGGACATGCATGTTTACATGATGTCAGTCAGCGATGTCACCGAGTCGTACCTCGAGGCCTGTTTGGCAGAAGCCTGCAGTTCAGTTGTCACATGAAGGAAGTAGAAACTGAGGAAGATCCTTCTCTGCAGCAGCAGGCACAGGAAGCAAATACTGTCCCACATTATTCCGGCTTCTTCTACTGGGAGACTGCACGTCTTGTCACTAACTGCTTGTGCTGTCAAGAAATCCAAAGAAAGTAAATGTGAATTTTGCAGAACATCAATCCCCATCAGAATTAAAGCTTTTTAAAATACCAAGTACAACCAAGACTCATTTCATATTGTACAGACTGAAGGCACAACGTTCAGTCTGAGTAGAAACTGATACGGCAGCTCAAGTATTTTTAAAAACTTACGATCATAGTATCCTTTGACTGTGCATACCAAGCTGAAGAGTTGGATGACCCAGCAGAAGCCCTTCTGCATCTCAAACACAAACACACATGCCAGGATCTGAAACACACAAACACACATAAGCACAGTCAGTATTTCTATATGTGACGTTTTGTATACACAGATTCCAAACTTGTTCTTTATATCGTGATATCACAAAGTGATGAGGCGTCTCTGTGGGACACAGAACCTCTGCTGTCATTTCTTTATAGGAGCCTTTGAAAAAGCCACTGACGAGAGACAGCTTCACAGGACTCTCAATGACAACATCTAACACTTTGTGAGTCCTGCTTTACCAGACCGTGTTAATCACATCGACCTAGCAACCAGGTACCCGCCCCCTGACGACCTCCGTATTCCTCGACCGGTTGGTGAGTGGTTACTGGAGTACGCTGGCTGAAAGCGATCGCAAAGCCTTGGTCACAGCAGTTTAATGGGCAAAGCTGATTTGTCTGCAAACACTCCCTAAACAACGAGCAAGTGTTTGAACTGGTCAACTGGCTGGTTGTGTTCTACCTGAGCACCTGAACTCAAAGTAAAAGCAAACGCGTTTGAAGAGGTGGAACACACCTAGCACTGTGGACCTATTTCAGCCTCAATCGCCTCAATAACCTCCAGAAACCACTCGCCATCTGGTTGAGGAATACACATTTTCCCCTAGCAGTCGATGTCACTGACCATCGTCTGTCCTTGTGTGACTGAGGCTTTAG